GGGATAACTGAAGATTGCAAGACGTTAAACTCACAGTAACTCAGTGAAACAGGAGGGAACTGTTATTTCCCTCCATCTGTGAGGAGGGGATGAGGAGGAGTGAGGAGATGAGAGCCCAGGTGCCCAGGGAGCGTAGGTGTGCAAGAAAAATGGCTGGGGACCTCTGGGCGTATCTCTGGTCGCTAGGGAGGAGGCCAAGTCTGTCCCTGAGCCTGTCAAGTCCCAGCCTAGTGCCTTCCTCCCATCATTTTACACCTTGCTTCACATAGCTATTCAGACAACAAATACAGTAAGTTGTGCTCATCTAATTATGAAAAGAAAACATTACCATATGGCTGGTGGCAGCTGAGCAAAAATGTTGTAGCTTTGGGTTTCTAAATAGAGCTAACAAACTCGGAGAACAAGCACACATGAGGAGGTTTGCATCTAATGAAATTTCCTCTTTTGCAATGGAAGACAGACTTTGAATTCATGTAGTAATTCTTTGCTCAGTTCTAGGAATCAGTTTACCCTTGACAAGAGAGGCTTTCAGGCTTCAGTATTACAAAAATGTAAAGTCACTACTATATGATGTGGAGTCAGAGCATCCTTCTCCTGTAATGTATCTGTTCTAGCACTTTTTTAACGATAAAGACTGTGTTTACTGGATAGCTTGAAAAAAATCCTGCATGATTTTTAGCTCACCTTGAGAGGAACCGACGTAATGTGCAAGATAACGCCCCTACTACAATAGATGATACCAGACTACAGTTAGGACTGCTGTTCAACAGCCTTGCACCTTCTTGGGGAGGAGGGGTGGGAGGGGACAGTACGTTACCTTGGCTCACAGTATTTGTACATACACTGACCTATAGTTCGTAGAACACATTTCACACAAATGAATGGCTCATGTTGTTCTGTTTGTATTCATAGGGATGAATTCAATCTGTTTCTCAACTCATTTACATTTTTACCGCAATGCTGGTAATAACCTTTCACAAGACCTTCAGACACGTGTGCATGATCTCAGCAACATGGATGACTAAGGCAAATATCCCGCTCCACTCTCTTCTCCTACCACTTCTCTCCCCGTGTCTGTACATTTCTCCCAGTACGCACCATTGACGGGAGTGGTCCATCTCTGAGTTAATATAGAGGTACCCCGCTGATTTTGTTCCAGATACCGGTAACTTTATCTGCGGATGTAAAAGTACATTAAAGATTCAGTGAAGCATGTTACTGAAATGGACACTTATTCCTTCTACAGTCAAAGATGCAACACCTCCCTTTTAACTTAAACCCTATTTTTTTTTTAATGTATTTCAGAGTTTCACTAAGCTTTTCAAATGGCTTACGTGTGCGTGGCTATACAAGTATGCCTGTTCTGCCATACATTAATCTCTCCCTGCTGAAAAAATGTACTATGTTACAGCTGCAACCCCCAGGGAAAACCACTTGCTCTCCGAAATATTTATGAGCAAACACCTTTCCTTGCCAGAATGCATGGTAATCCAGAGGCAACCTGCACTGTGCTAGAGCTTCCCATACCCATAACAAGCCTGCAGGTTGAGATCCTCTGCAGATCAGTCCGTTAACATGCATTGAGACAACGCGATGTTCAACGATTTTTGTCAGCGTCACAAATTCTACCACTCAGTTGTTTAACAAAGCAAGCTAGGACCTGCAGCATTGACCACAGCTAATTGCACTTGGCCTGATGTTTGAATAAAAGAAACATCATCTCAAGTGTAGTGTTTGCTGGTGGTACTGCAATCACGAAGGGTAGATGTCGGGCTTCTCCCGCTGGCTCAGTAGGGAGTAGCTGGGCATGTTGTGGAGTTAGTAAATTGATCTATGATGTAACTGTTAATGATGATTAAGTAGTTTATTTCATGAGAACATGAATGCTCATGAGCATGGAGAAGAAAGTTGGTGGTTTGTATCCTGGGTGAGGTCGGCAGAAGGCAGGGTTTGACTTCACCCTGAGTCACCCAAGCAACCAGCATTCTTAAAAGGTGACACAGGAAAACATCAGTGGGACAGGTTCTCATCTTCTTTTCAATCAGTGTAAGAGGTTGTGCTTCTTTTCCCACATTTTTGGCCTTAGATATATGTTGCCTTGTAGAATCTCTTAACACCTGAGAAATTGGGAAACAGTTTGGCCCAGGGTATCACAGGGGTAAAGCCTGGCAGGGGCAAGATGGAAAGTGGAATTTTATGAGAGCTCTCCGAAATATTTATGAGCAAACACCTTTCCTTGCCAGAATGCATGGTAATCCAGAGGCAACCTGCACTGTGCTAGAGCTTCCCATACCCATAACAAGCCTGCAGGTTGAGATCCTCTGCAGATCAGTCCGTTAACATGCATTGAGACAACGCGATGTTCAACGATTTTTGTCAGCGTCACAAATTCTACCACTCAGTTGTTTAACAAAGCAAGCTAGGACCTGCAGCATTGACCACAGCTAATTGCACTTGGCCTGATGTTTGAATAAAAGAAACATCATCTCAAGTGTAGTGTTTGCTGGTGGTACTGCAATCACGAAGGGTAGATGTCGGGCTTCTCCCGCTGGCTCAGTAGGGAGTAGCTGGGCATGTTGTGGAGTTAGTAAATTGATCTATGATGTAACTGTTAATGATGATTAAGTAGTTTATTTCATGAGAACATGAATGCTCATGAGCATGGAGAAGAAAGTTGGTGGTTTGTATCCTGGGTGAGGTCGGCAGAAGGCAGGGTTTGACTTCACCCTGAGTCACCCAAGCAACCAGCATTCTTAAAAGGTGACACAGGAAAACATCAGTGGGACAGGTTCTCATCTTCTTTTCAATCAGTGTAAGAGGTTGTGCTTCTTTTCCCACATTTTTGGCCTTAGATATATGTTGCCTTGTAGAATCTCTTAACACCTGAGAAATTGGGAAACAGTTTGGCCCAGGGTATCACAGGGGTAAAGCCTGGCAGGGGCAAGATGGAAAGTGGAATTTTATGAGAGTTGGTTAAAGGTTGATTTTTTTTTTTTTTTTTAACCCTGACAGCCCCTCTCCTTCACTGCACCATCTGCCCTATTCCTTACTGCCCAGGACTCAAAATTAGTCACCAGGAGGAATAAAGTGATTCAAATGTGACGAGATCCCTCAGCGAGTTGCCAGGAGAGGTCACTAGGGACATTTAGCGTCATCAGCAAAACCAGGGAAGAGCAGCCTGGATTAATGGGTAAAAACACTGATGGAAAGTCCTCTTCAGGCAGCAGCCCACAGCGTGGAAGTGAACTTGTGTTTGTGAGGTTTGCCTCGCCCCAATGCTAGGCTGACACAAGGCAGCCTTGTGCAATACTTCAGCACCCAGTGCAGCATTCTCCAGTCACTCTGTAACCCCAGCGCTCAGCCCCACGCTGGGCAGCCATCCTCCATGGCACAGGCTTACAGATGCTTTTAAAATCCACATCATTTGTGCTGTGCCACAGCATAGCTGGTGAGCAGCTGTAAATCTCTGCTGGAATAAAGCTTTAAAAACTAGCGTAGGACATATCTGGGGACAAGAGGGAGGCAGCTGCTATTTTAAAGATGGACCTTGATAGGTTTCTGAAAATGACTTTGTGGCTTACAGTAGCAGGAGGGGGATCAACTGACTTGGGAGGTCCCTTGGCATTCTGTGATGTGCCCATATAGCACAACACAAAGATGTCACTCTTGCTGGTTTTAGTCCCTCATGTCAAAGCATACATTTATGCTCTGGAAATCCACTCCTCTTCCAAATCAACTGTTATCCCACCCTGCTGCTTTCCCATGCCCCCAGGTCACTTGTGACCTGCTGAAAATCCCCTAGCTGATCTCTTGTCACACGGTGCCTTGGGAAGCCACCCTGTGACACCACCTCCCCAGCGTTACCTGTGCTCTTTCTGTGTCCACACGGTTACTCCCATCCGTCAGTCGGATGTTGTGAACCTTGAGGGGGGGGGCACCCAGGGCTTCCAGGGCATCCGGATTGCTGTTCAATTGCTCCAAAGCCTGCTGATAATACTGGGTCCTGGCAAAACTCTCTAGGTGAGAGAAACAGGGTAGTGAAGAGACTGTCCACTTAAAGTCAAAACACAAGTGAAAAAGAAAAAGACATTTCCTCCAGGCTACCACAGCCTCCCTGAAAAACACTCTGAAACTATTAGTTAGGAGAAATCTGGGTAAAGGAGGAAACGCACCCTTACATCAGAGAAGAGAAGCAGTGCTGAGCTGTAACGTTATTCAGCTCACTTAAGTGAAGAGGGCTCTGAATATAGCCTGTTCCATACTGATAGACAGTCCAGCTTATGCCTGTGTCTCCCTGCTTTTCATACGTTTGTACGTCATCTAAAAGGAACAAAAAAAAAAAGAAGGGAAAAAAAGCCTAAGGAGGAATGTCTGAAAATGTTCCGAATGCAATTTTTATTTTTTCAAAGGAGGTACAGAAAATACTTTAAGCATGGAGAATATTTTGCAGACATTGGTGTGAGACAGGAACAGCTGCTGCTGTGAAACTCCAGCTGTGGTCTTGATCAGCTTTTCAAGTGGCAGCCACGAAGCTGCAACTCTACATTGAAAAGGAGGCACGAAGAGGCACCGTTAAGAGTTAATGGTCAAGCAGCAACAATAGCACAGTCGACTGGATGCTGCAGTGTTGGCATATGGAGGACAACTGTAGTAAATTGCTACTTATCAATGTCTGGTTACTACGTATAGCTGGGAAACGCTGTCCACTGGTGACCACTGCACAATGCAGAGCTGTGAGGCTGGAAACGTGCTGGCCTTCCTTACGGAAGCAGAGACTTGCTTATAAACAGTTTTAAGGCTTGTCTGCTGAGATTGCTAGATGTGCTTCACACCAGCCTAACTTTACTCTCTTGACATCAAGAAGGGCAGAGTTAACCTAAGAATGTGTATGTGTGAAAATCCTACTCTGGCAACTTTGCTCTTGCCTTCAAAGAGTTTAAAACAAGGTGTAAGGTTTGTTTCCTGGTCTCTTGGAGAGTGAGGCAGAAGGATGCTGCCCTCTCTCCCTAATTAGAGGCAGCCCCTGTGAGCAGGCAGCATCCAGTTGGCATAGAAACAGCTTTGCTAGGCTGCAGCCTGCCCTGGTCCACCCCAGCCCCCTGGGCCATCCTGAGGAGCTCCAGCAAAAGGGGTTGCAGCACGCCAGCCCTTTCTTGCCAACGGATGGTGGCAAGCAGCCACACAGACCACATTAGAATTATGTTGTGCTCATCCTGCAGGTTGGAGGGGAAACGGGTTCAAGTTTCCCGGTGTTCCTTCTCAGCTGTTCCTTGTTAGCATCTCATGTATTGGACATAAAATGCCCAACTAATCCGTTTGGCCATGCATTTTCAGTAGAAGAGCTGAAAGCATGCCGAAGTTGGCTGGGGAGACTGCTCCTGTGAGGGGGGTGTGGAGGTGGAGAGTGAGGTTGTACAAACTTTCACAGAGACCATGCGCATGCAAACTTCCCTTCAGCCTGAAGGGAAGGGAGGGAAGCACCCCTCTTCCCCTGCTCCCACCACTATGGAAGCCGCTTGCTCCTCACAGGTCCCAGTATGGGCTAGTTCTGTGCACTGGGAAGGCAGAAGGGACTGGGATAACCCTGGGCATGGGCCAAGGGAGGAAGGGTCCCAGTGTGGCTCCCTCTGTCTGCTGGAGGCTACAGAAAGACACACTCTGCAGCAGAAAGTGTCCTTTCAACAGCCCGGTTGGTTTGTCACACAGCTACCAGACAGCTACTCGGCGGCCACTGATATTGCAACAGAGCAAGAAGTAGCCATTGAGTTGCGCCACTTGATTGCACAGCTAAGCGATGCGGGGAACAAGCCCTTTGAGTTTCTGTATAGCATGGGGGGTGACTTCCTTCCCCCCCTCCCCCCCAAGAGATTTCTATATAACAAAGCTGGAGCTGAAAATTAAAAAATGCTAATGTCCTTGTTAAAGCCAGATTCAATATTTTAAAGCGTAAGAGGATCATATATCTGTCATGTACTCCAGAGCCTGAGGGCATGAGCTGCCTAAAATTAAAGCCTGCTTTCCAGCCTTGTCTGATTTGTTATTAATACGTGTAAAATGAAGGGGAGGTTTTAAAGCTTATCTGAGGGCTTGAGGAACAGGCTTGGCTACACTTTTCTGGCAGCATCCTGTGATATAGGGGTAGGTGAAAAGCAGTATCATTTGACAGTACCGGGAAGGAAGAGGCATAGGGCCAAGAGGCCTATAGCACCCCCCAGGAGTGAGGCAAAGCCTCTTTCTGGTCTGATGCTAAGTATCTAGAAACAATTTTAGAAAAAAATAGACATCTATCATTTGGACTAATAATTTGGATTCTTGGCCAAAGACACATAGCAACTAGATCTGTCTATAAACAGCAATGGCACCTGTCTAGCTTTTCTCCCCTTGTCCTCATCTTCTCGGTGCTGAGCATTCTCATCTGCCCTTCATGCAGGAGAAACTAAAGATGTCTTAGCACTCCACAGGTGTGTTGTGCTTAAGGGCCAGCGCCACAAAGAGATTTACAGATAAAACCGCTAGACTTTAATGCCTTCTCACAGATGGTCATCTTTTCCTGCCCATTTTAAAATCTCACTAAGAAACGAAAACCTGCATTTCTCCCTAAGCTTTCACTTTGCCCTCACCCTCAGGAAACCCCCCGGAAACCAGCCTTTCTCCTGACCGCAGCAGCCTGCTCCCTATGCAACACCTGCCTCTGGAAATGCATGCAGCAGTGCTTGGGAGAGCAGGAGCCCTGGGGATGAACAGAGCGGAGCCCCTGGAGGCAGAACCCAGAGGCTCAGCCACACGTCCCTTAACTTCATCCGCTTTTCATATCTTGCATGCTGCTATTTTTCCCCGCTACGCAAAAGCAAATGAAAGGGGCCGAGGAGCAATAAGGTTGCTAACAGCACCGAGACTTACTTTGCATAAGATTATACATCATGATGCATCCCCCGCCACTGAACAGTCCCATGAAAACAGCCATTTGCTGCAGTTTTCTTAGAGAAGCTGGCATTTTTCCTCCCTGAAAAGAAAAAGGGAAGACATTTGTTGTAAAAGAAGAAAGCTATAGGGCTATTTCCCCCCTCCTCCTCTTTTCTAAAAGCCCTTTCCAACCAGGCCTGAATGAAAGCGCAGTGCAGAGGCATCGGGCTCTCGCCGGCGGGGGCCCCACCGTGCGCCCAGAAGGAAGGGTGGTGAGAACAGAGCAAACCGGGGACCCAGCCGGGTTGAATGTGTTTATTCAACTTCTTTTAGCGATGCCACCACTTCGCTAATTGCCGAGAAGAAAATGACCTCCCCGGTGTGGCCAGGGGCCAGCGCCGCGGCGCATTGTCGCGGGGGCTCCTGGTGCCGGCGCGCTCGCTCGCACACTGCGGGCATTCAGGCTCCGGGGGCCGGATTTCTCTCTCGAGTAAACTCCACTAAAGTAAACACGCTCGCGGCAGGGCTGGATTTGGCCTGGAGTGGTAAGGGACAGAGCCAAGCCAGCGCTGCGCCAGCAAAGATAATGGAGCCAGGGTGTGCGTATTCTGTTGTGGTGCTTTTCTCCCAAGCCGTGGATAAACAGGAAGGCTCTCACAAGCTATTTTTCTTCCTTCCTGCACTCCCCCCAGCCCAAGCTTGCCCTTTTAATGAATCACAGTTTTGGCATTTGAATGAATAACCCAGCGGAATAAGAAACACCTCTGAGAAAGTCAATCGACTAAAGGCTTCCACGGCTTGGGTGAGAGAGGGACCCTGTGGCCTGAAGAGCCTGAGCTGATGCTCCTGCCCACAGCGGGTTGGTGGGAGTCGAGCCGAGTTGTCACTGGGGGAGCGTAGCACTTTTTGCTTCAGGCTGTGGCAGGATGGGACTTGACCAAGCATCCGAGTATCGGCTTATGCTCTTGCTTTTTCTCGCAGCTGGGATGGCAGGGACGAATGTTCTTGACAGCAATTTAAAAAAAAAAAAAAAAAAAAATCAGCCAAAGTCTGCCCTTTTTGATGTAGGCACATAGACATCTGAATGCTTTGGGAAGCTGTGTGGGATTTCTAATCCCAAAGGCTTCACACCTCAATCCTGGTGCTGTGATGTTGTGACTTAGCTATTACGCTCAGCCAGGGCTGGTTAATAAACCCAGGCCCAAACCAGTTACGGAAGTGTGACCTGGGCAAGGCCATTTGAGTCCTGTTGTGAAAAACCACCTCTAGCATCCCTCAGGTATGCATTAGTCAGGTATGGCTCAGTCAACAACCACAGTTTAGAGAGGGTGGGGAGGCAAATGTCAGGACTCCTTCCCGTCGTGGCCGGGTCAGGGTGACACAGGCAGCCTCCTTCTGCTCCCCGCTCTGCTGACGTGCCCGTGCACGATCTCTTGCGTCCTCTAGCCCAAGGGAAACCATGAATGAAACCCAGGTATAACTTTCGTCTACTGCCCTGTCGGCACTTGCGTTCAAACGTAATGCATGCTATCCCTTAGTCGAAGGCTTTCCTTGTTAACTAGTTCCCTTGATTTTAATTATTCTTAATATTTAAGTTTTAATTTACTTCAGAATTATGAATGGCTAGTAATGGTAGCAATGCAGAGAAGGATGTGGGTGTTATGTCTGTTTTATGCCCCCAAATCCCCAAATTGTGCCATTGGTACAGTCAGTCACCATCTCCCTCACTCCTGATCTGTTTCTCTGATGAGTTTTCTGCTTCACTTCCCCTGGGGAACTTGAGCGGTGTGAGAAGTTGCAGCAGAGGAAGTACGAGTGTGCTTTTACAGAGAAACGGCAGCAGCCTTTTCACAAGGACAGCAAGAGCCGTCTGCTCACCCGCTTGTGTTTGCAGCTTTCCTTAAATCACAATTTGTAACATTATTTCCTGCCTCCCTACACACACACACACCCACACCCAACTGCAAAATCTGATTAATAACAGAGTTTCCTGTAAGATCCATCTGGCCAGGAGGAGGATCCAACACCACGTAACAGGGAGAAAAATAAAAAAAAAAGGTGCTAAATCTGGAGAGCGGATCATCTATAACAGGCTGTGACCCGCAGCATTTGTTTTTGCCCCTTTCAAAGTTGTGGCCAGGCAAAATTTGCTTTCTGTGATGAAATTCAGGGTAATTGAACGCAAATGCCTGGGGGTGGGGGGTGCTGCCAGCAGTTTGCTGAGTAAAAGTGGGAAGACGTGGAGCTCTTGCACCAGCAAGGAGGTTTCGACTGAGGCTCAGGGGACCTGCCTAGCAAAGGGCGGAAATTGGAGGCTCTGCAACTCGCTCTCAGTGGGTTTGAGGTTTGTTAGGTCTCACGGTCTGCTCGCACCCAAACAAGGGGGATGGAAAGTACGAGGAGCTTCATGCTGATCAGTCACGTGCTTGTGCATGCTCTCATTGCCACCTCCACTCACAGCAGGTCAGCGGCCGCAAGCACCCTAATGGTGCCATGCCGAGCCATCTGGCAAGAGAGCTGAGAAATGGTGGTCCCGGCAAGCTCTGCTGCCCAATGCAGCACTCCCGGCTGCTCCTGATATGCTGCCCCTGCCTGCAGCCATCGCCCCTTGCTGGTCCTGGTGAAGCAGGGATGTGGGAGGCTGAGGTGCACCCAAGTTGTGCAGCCCGCACTGGCTCTGCAAAGTTCCTCATTGCCGTAACAGGGAGAGTATCTCCGTTGCTTGCTTTCAGTAAGAGTGGGAAGCCCGCAGGCAGGACCACACCACCCCCAGGCTAGCCCCTGATGCTCTCCTCCCACTTGTTTCTCAGCCATTTTCCCAAGCCAGTCCTATGACAGCACGTTGCGGGAAGAGGTTCAGAGCTACGCGTTTTAACAAGTCTCTCAAGACCTTGCAAACCTCCTCTTTGATCCCACAATTCCCTGTTAGCTTCCAAAAGCAAGGACTGAAGTGTCCCTCACATGTGGGCTGCTGCTCCCCTTTCTTGCCATCGTGGTCCCTTTTGGAATGGATGTCCAGATATTGCATCCAAATCCTTCAGCATCCCTTGGCATGCAGCTGCTGCTGACTTCTGAATGATGACACCAGAGGTACGAATGGTGTCAGCTTGTGGAAGACCTAAATGTAGTAAGGAGCCGTTGTCTGCGAGGGCTCATTGCTCAGATTTCTGCCCTCTGGCCACCCGTGTTTGCTGCGCCCATCTGCTCTCTGCTGAAGTGCCATGGAGGTGGCTCGCTAGGGACAAGACATGCCCAGAAGTGTGCCTCCTGTCCTCAGCCTTTCTGAAAATTACTTACAGCCTGCAAAGCGTAGAGATCTATTAAAGGGAAGGACCAAACCCCCTCGACTTCATTTGCCACAGAAGGAGTAACTGTTAAGATAATGCATTTAGGAGAATTTTATAGATATGACGTGCAATTGCCTCTTAAGGAGGGAAGTTCATGTTGCTATCTGTGGCGGAGATCTCCCCTCAGAACCTGTTATACCACTAAAAAGTATGCAAGTCAACTGGTGGAAAAACAGATTTCTTCACAGCTGGTAATTAAAAAAGCACAATTTCCAAGCTACGCTGTTCTGCAAAAACATCTTTTCCTCCATGCTATTTGCAGCGGTAAGAAAGATTAAGTGGAGATTAGCACACACCAAAAACACTGAGCCTACAGTAAAAAAAAAAAAAAAGAGACACTAAATCATTCTAAGTAGTGTTCTCTAAAAATAAAAATTAAACAGCAGAGCTTCCTAATAAAGATGATGTTCATTTTGTGCCTTGAAAATAGTAAGATATCGTGGAAAAAGTAGTATTCAGGCTTGACTTTGAAACTGAGCAGGACTCGGGTAGTTACCAGCAAGATTTAACAAACCCAGAGAGGTGGAAGGCTCCCAGGGTCACATGTGAAATGGTGGGTTACTGCAACAATAAAGTCTGTTTTTAATTAGACTTTGTTTTCTCCACAGAGGATCTTCTAAAAATAGGCTGGGCTTAGGAAATTCTCCCTTATTTCAGCAAATTCAGATTTCTGTTTCAGTCTCTGAAATTCATGTGGCAGAGGCTGGTCTCAGGCACTTCCACCAAAGGCAAGCAGTGGTAAAGCAAGGGCATTTTCACCAAGGCATTTCCTCCTCCTTATCCTTTTCCTTCTCCTCCTCCTGGCACTACCAAGCTCCACCAGCACCTCCAGCTTCTGGGTGCCATCACAGACTGAACAGTAAACAATAACAGTGCTCTGAAATCAGAGACGAGCAGCTTGATCCGTGCAAATTCAGTGTGATCACTGCTGGCTATCTCAATTTGGGCCACTGCCTACCCACCTGGCCAAGACAATATACTGCCAGGCCACCAATACAAGGAGCTGGGAGCCTTTAAACCACTGATGACCTGAGATGTTGGCATGACACACTACGTATGTGTGGCAAGAGACTACTATTAAATTAAATTAAAACTTATCAATAGGCCTGACCATGGACCTGAGTGTCTAACTTCAAAGCTGGAACTGTTGCCTAACCCTTCTGTAATGAAGCTCTCCTTTGGGCTGGTGGGATTTGAGTCGGCCCCAGGTCCAGCTTTCCTGCAAGCCACCCAGGTAGTCATGGAAGTCACAGGAGGTGAGGCAAACCACACACAAGCACAAGCACACAGTTGTATTTCACATTCTCACTCTCTTGCCCATCTACTGATCTTGTAAGATCCACAAGACATCTGGGTATGAGCTAATTCCTATACTAATAACATGCCAGGACAACATTTTAGAGACAGCTTCATGACACTCCCTGTCTACAAAATACCTTCATCATGGGTACTGTCACCAAAGAGAGGACAGTTTTGACAGGATCATCATTTCAGCATATTATTTTCCCCTTTTTCATGGAAATAGTGTCAACATACTATTTACCTCATTTCTGAGAAGTAACAGCACAAACGGTGCCCCCTGCCACCACGTTCAGAAACACCAAAGATTTTGCACATATGGTCTGCCTTCACCAAAACCTCAGCAACTAATAAGAAAGAAGTTTGCTTAATTCACAACCAAACCAGAAGTAGGACTAGTACTTTTTTTTCGCAGTCGTTCTTCTCCAGATGCACTGAAAAGGCATATTTTGGCATAGAGGGAGATAAAACACCTTTTCAGCCAGATTTGAAATGGTCCTTTCCAGGGTCTCCTTGTGGATCAGTTCTTAGACACATGTAGCTTACCCTGGTTAAAATGCTCTGAAGGGACAAGTCTATGTACAAGGACGATTACTGGCAAGCCAGGAAACTGCGTTAAGTTTATTTTCTGTCTTTGCTGCTAGCTAATTGACAAGGAAAGTGTAAGTAGTCAATAGAGTGATTAAGGACTCTAAACAGCCACCTCATTCTTGTAGTTGTATCACATCTCCTGGGGCGCACACTACAACGCAGGTGGCTTGCTCAGTTAGTACAACGCCCGACATGGTGCCTACAGATATTTTAGTTTCATTTCCTTTTTCTCCTCTCTTGGGCGCTGTCATTTGCACGTTTCTACATATTTATATACCTTCATACACGTTTTGTACTTCACTGTTACAGACTACTTCCTCACATGCTCTTAAGCTACATGGTCTCATCCTGTGGGCTCGCCTGTAGCACATTTCTCTCCCTCCTGCCTGCCCACCTTCACCCCTCTATGTGCCCTCTTCCCCTGCAGGCTATTGCACCACCCCAGTGCTGCGCAGACAGAAATGGTGGGGCCGCTGTTCCCCTTGTCCAAGAAGCCTTCTCCTGCCATCCCTTGGTTTACCCCTCTGTGAAACTGAGTCTGCCAGTTCCCAACTGCAGGTAACGAAGGCAGGTGCCTAAATCCTTTTTTGCTTTTCTCCTAAGTTGCAAAGATGCTACAACCTAGTTTGCTCAGTCTCTTTGAAGGCCAGGCTCATGTGCCAGCCAGTTCAACCACCCGCTCCAGATCATCCTCCAAGACAACTGGAGCTGCCTGTGCTTTGTACTGGAACATGAGGGATATAGCAGAAAAGAGGCACATCTAGGGC